GAGCTGACAGATAGTTACGCTATCATTTGGTCTGTCCGTTCCCCTAATTTGCACTCAGTTGTATTAAAACAAGGTGCTTTCGCCTTTCTTGTCCTTCTCACAGAAAGCTTGATATGAGAGATAGACAGTTTTGAAAGGTAAAACTTAGAACAGAATCACCATATCTGCACGCCGTAATTCACGAAGCTAATGCGTTGTGAAGCTTCAGCCTTATTTTTAATGCAGACAAATCCGCTCGCTTTGAATTCGGACTGTCGGTATTCATTTACACATGGTCCCGGAAGACAGCATATTTGAATACCAGGTGAACGGCCTTATTAGCCTCAAGAGGCATTTTGGATATATGATCTGTACCAGTCTAACGACGTAGTAAAAACAAGATCTAAGAGGGACCGGTCCTGTCCTTTCATAAATCTAGTGGGCTGGTCCACGAACTGGTGTAGGAGTAATTGCAACACAAAGTTAAGAAGCTCAGTGGTAAGTCCCTTTGCCGCTAACGAGCACGAAATATCCTGTCAATTTATACATGGAATTTTAGAGTCACCCATAAACAAGCATCTGTTTTCCGATTGGATACTAGTTATGAGACCTCCAGAAGCACTGTCATGCCTCCTAAACCCTAACACAAAGTTGAACTGCTTAGGCCTATAAACTTCAACTGATAAAGCTGCAGCGATTCATCAGACGAACAGAACGTGTACGTTTATGTAACAGTTGGGGCAAACCTGAGGTACGGAACTAATCCCCCGCGGCGTACTGAGTAATGAATACTGAAACTAGAAAACATGTAGTTATAAATCTGTATTGATTCTTCGTAGTTAGACCGGGCACCTGCACGGAATCACGTTGTTGATCCTGCGCAGTGGCCGCATATCGAACCTGCACTACATCTTATCGGGGTGCGATACGCCCCATAAACCTGTAGTCCGCATAGTGGACTTCAAGGTTGTTCTTAAATTCCGACATCGATTTTGCTTCGACTATCGTCTCAGGCAACTTATTCCAATATTTCACCACCCGACGCTTGAAGCATAGAGGTTAAGAGATGCGCTTGAAATCCGGTACCATTAGTTTGTACCGTTGTCCGCGTGTGTTGCTTGGTGCGCGAACGTGCAGCAGTAACCTCAACACAGGGCATTGGCCCAGGTGCAGTTTCCGGTGCGTCATAATGAGATCAACTCGAAGGTGACGATATAACAAGCCATAAAGCCCTAGTCCCAGTAAACTGGGAATGAGCCGGGTAGTTACATGCTCGAGCCGTTCCAGTCTCTGCACCTCAACTGTTGTGATCGGAAAATAGTCGGGCGAGCCGTACTCAACACCGGTTTTATCATGAGAGAGAACAGACAAGTGGCAATCTCTTCGGCCCAAGTGCAGTAGCTGCGTCTAAGTGCCCAAACTAACCAGTGCTCCTTGGGGTACACCGCTAGGGGAGGGGTACCAGACCGTTAGGTGGTCCTCCACTTATACCCGCCATAATCTCCCAATCAGGAAGTCACTGATCCACGGATGCAGCGCACCACCAACACCACACGTCCTCAGCTTATGGAGCAGGGTCTAAAGATTCCCTTTATCAAAAGCTTGACTGAAATCAATGCAGCTAACATCTACTGACTTACTCCGGTTCAACGCTTGTAACTAGTCCTGCCGCGTCAACAGCAAGTTGGTGATGCACGAACAGCCCTTCGTAAAGCCGTGTTGTGCCGGCGTTAGGAGATCTTTCGAATCCAGCAGCGGGAGAAGATCCTTGTTAACAATCTTCTCGAGTATCTTCGCCAACACAGAGGCGAGACAATTCGGCCGGTAATCATTCACACTACGTGGGTTACTGCCTTTTGGAATCGGCTTCACTACCGAACGTTTCTAGTCGCTCGGCAATCCACCTTCCGACGGTGATCTGTTGAACAGATCATGCGAGATGCATGCGAGATGCTCGCCGATAAGCATATTAAAATTAGCGGGTGAAGTCCATCGGCTCCGGCAGGTTTCGTGCCGTCGAGACTAGCGAGTAGACTACTGGCATCTTCTACACCGCAATCCAGGCCGTCGAGTTCAGTAGGTCCCGGAAACGTCGAGCTCGGCCTAGGCGCATGCCTAGTTGTAAATGCGGAAGGGAAGTGCTCCGCCAGGCGGACGCACGTTTATTGATGGAGATCAGAGGCTGTCCGTCAGTGCCCTCTAACACATTTATGTCATTTACGGGCATCAGGCGCCGCTTCACGTGAGCAGAAATCTTCTTGGAGGAGGTCTTCACTGATGTCGCAAGTCCCCCTTTGAAGTCCCCATGCTTTCTCGCTTCTGCACGGTTGCTTAGATTCCTCCGCCTTTTGTGTGCCTCATAATCGTCGGCAGAGCCAGATACGAGGCGCATACTCCACAATATGCGTCGCCGTCGAGCTCATCGATAATACTTTCTGTCGAACCAATGTGGCTTCACTATCCTAGCTTTGCGATACTTGAAGGGTACGCAACGAGCGCACAACGGTTAAACAGCCTCTTTTATAACCTACCAACTGGCTTCAACAGAGGACTCCTGCGGCAGCGACCAATCCACTTCATTGGCGGTTCGATTTAGATCATCGAAGTCGATCTTTCAATAATCATAGGACGGCTTCGGCTAACGAGCATAGGGCAGCGGCAGCTCTAGGCTGGCTAACAACATCGAATGGCCATCAGCTGCCAGAGACCCCAGGACTTGAATTTCATATACACGTTGTTCTCAACTCGTTAGTACTAGGTTCAGGAACAATGAATTGGAATAGGGCGTAACGCGCATCGGTTGGTAGACACGTTGTACTGCTCCAGTTTCAAATATCATCCGCAAAAACGCCCCTCGATTTCACAGTGCCTGGGGAGAAGTTGAACTTCAGGCCACCGTATTCGAGGGAAGTTAAAGTCGCCCCTAAGCAAAATGCGGGGCCGACTCATATAGTTTCTGACATGCGGCAACCAATCCAGACAACGACTTCGCAGGCTGCGATAAACCGCATCCACAAACAGTTCATCCTGTCTCAAGCGGATGGAGCCACATACTTGTTCGCACAATCCATTCTCGTTGTGGTAGGTGTGTACCAGTCTCCCATATAGCGAGGCTCGAATGTATAACAGCAAACCGCCTCGTCCGTTTGATAGGCTTTCGCACCGGAATCACGGATAGCCACTGATCTGCACTTCCTGGGTAGTGACCTCAGCTTTTAAGCAGGTTTCGTCCAGTCCTAGTATGTCCGGACAACGAGAGGCAACGAAGTCACGTTTGTTCATTACAATACAAACACTTGTAAAGGCTAAACGCAGGCCACGGTAAGAACAGACGGACGGGCATGAAGCGTCATTGACCAGTTGATCCGGTTTCGGTGGACCCGGGAAACTACCCGAAAATTTACAAGGTGGAGAATGCATTCTCCACTATCAGTCCGCTGCTTTAACTTCACGATGGTAGAGTTCACTTTCTTCCTGTTCAACTGATCCAAATCTGAGCGAATATGGATCTTTAGACTTCTTAGCCTAGCTAGTCGTGATAGTATCAGCACCGGACTCGCTTCGTCAACAAACGTGACCCGCAGAGGTCGGGACTTCTCCTCGTCTCTCTTTTCAAAACGAGTGATTTGCTGCACCCGAAACCCCAGTTCATTCACGTCGAGAAGCCTATCAGTCAGGCACTGCAGAAAATCGACGCCTTGGTCGTAACATGCCTGAGGAGTAGCATCCGTCGACTCAGGTGCGTGAAATCTCAAAAGATTACAACGCCACTGATTTCTGGTAGTTATACTCTCCCTTTTGCCTCGCTGCATTCACCATTAGCCTTCATTGCTTGCGATATCGCATATCGGTATGTTATTGTCCGTAGGACGCTACACAGGCTCGCCAGCTGAGACTCCAGCGACGGGTGGACATTGCTCTGGAGAGCCTGCAGCCGGCGGGCAGGTGGGCTAGTTCGAACATAGAGGTGAATAGGTTTCTGCTTGCTTAGATGAACTCACGGAGCTCCTCCCTATGGAATATTTTGCCCGTCTTGTAGACTCGCTCGTCTTGTCAGCCGTTTGTGACTGCACAGTGGCTTGACATTTCTTGCACAATATTTGGGCCAACTCCTGCTGACTTTAATGCAGTAGCTTCAAATTATCTAAAGACAAACCAATACACGAGATGTGGAAGGTATCACGACACATAAGGCACGTAATAGCATTGGCTCTACGTGCAACTATTATGCAACAAGTGTCACAGGGAGTCTGCTTCGTCATTACAGATAGCTTAGCAGATGTGATGGTAAAGATGATAAATTGCACGATACTTACATGATACAAATACGACAGCAAAATGTACGGACATGACACTAATATACGCCAAACAAACTCCGAATAGAAAAAGAAACTGAACTTGACGAGAGGAAACACGAGAAATTTGCTTACACAAAGTAATGAACGATGCAGACTAGCCTGTCAAACAAAGCGAGAAAAGCCGTCCGGTAAGTGCTTTCCGCGGTGGTAGGAAGAACGGTTAGTTCTAAGCAGTGCGAAGTCTTGTAAGCCTAATTCGTCATCCATTATGTCGGGGGTAACCGTGTTTCGGTGAACGCTAAAGCGTTCGGCCGACGGCGGTTCATGATCATGTCTACCTCACACATTTTATTTTGCAGCCTACCCAAATTGTCGAAGTTCCTCTGAAGGATCTTGGTAGCGTGAGCTCATAATCGTACACGACCAGAACCGGCTCTGGTAGAAAGGAGATGGACCAAACTACACGTCCATGTTTGATGGAAATTAGTGAAAATAGCATTCAAATAATAATATCCTTGAAACTACGTGAGATCCAGCATCAGGGAATAGCGCGACCACTGTTGGTATGCCAACATTATCCATCAATTAGGTTTCATTTGATGTTTGCAGGTTGCAGTGTATATCGTTCGGTAATTATTAATTTCGAAGAATACGATCAAGAGATCACCACGATTCATCTGTCGGGATGCAGGCCACATGTTCTTCATGTCTTCACTGTCACAGGTGGATCAATGGCCCCTAACCGTGCATCTACTTTCAACGGCTACTACAGACAGCCACGGGGCCGCGGTTCTTTACATCGAGGCAAACGGAAATTCCATTTTCCAATGCATTACGATGGTCCACCCGCCACGTACCTGCAAAACAGGCGTGGCTATCTCCGATCGCATGGAATGCGGTGTAAATGGAACACCAGCATGCCACAAGGACTGCACTTCTGCGGTTCATCGTCTCCTCATCCCACGGGTTACATGGAAGATGGTTTCATCGATGACACCTTCGCGAGTGATCTCGGGCAGTACAGCTTACAGGACAGCATTCAAGGCAGATCTTCAGACCAGGAAACTTTGGGTACATTGGATGGGCTCAAGGTAGCAAATGAACACAAAAGAACCGCTGACCATGGGGATGCCTACAATCTCAGCAAGGCCATGCGCAATCATGTGGACATAAGCAATTCGGTCGCCTCCTGCGCTCAAATACATCCGCTACTGAACGGTGATGGTGCCAACACAGACGAAGAGAATAAGGAAGAGCTGATACACACCCCGGTGTACAATGGTTTAAGTGAGTGGTCCGTTTTAAACCACCTCAAGACACAAACCTCTGATCTACTGGGTCGACAAACACCGTTGTATGAAATGATGAAGTCTGTGGCGTATCCATCATGCTAGCCGTACATTAAATGTGTGGTTGTGGTTAACAAAGCAAAAGTTAAGCTTAGTTTTCCCGATCAACTTTTGCTGAGAAAGGCCTGGACAGATTTTCCCATGTCAGTTCCTGTAGGTGATTGATGCGCGGGCACCCATATGCGAGCATTCTACGTAAGACCATTCCGTATATTGTGGCGCCTTCTACTTGTATCACACAAATCCTCAGTGAAACGAACAGTGGTATTACATTTTCTAACATCCCAGAGTTCAGAATATCGTGCCCAATACACATAGCTTCAGCGTTTGCCTGTATTCAAAGGCTGTACGTCCTGTTCGTTTCCCGTTATTGTTGCATTCACGAATGAAATATGAACGGCAAGCCAGCGATGATGGCCATGAACTATATCAGTAGCACCTGTATATAGTAATGTCTCATCGGGTTCCAGGTAATTATCGGTTCCGCAACACCCAATAACCTGCTGTTGTTCCCTTAATGAGTTCAACTTCATCAGTCTGTACAAATTTGATCTACCCGCCAAGGGGCTGAGGCATCCCATCAATATAGCGATCAATGCAATAAGTAGCTGAAGGAGTACGTCTCCAGTGTTGGTGGATTAAACAAGCACACTTGTTAATGAACAGGTTGACCACATTGCATGTGGCGCCAGTAGCAGATACACACAGACACACACAGATATACATTTGCAGCTTGGTGTTGATAACACCTCGCTTTGGAATTGCTACAGAATGGCCAAACGAATTTATGCCTTCTCTCGTTGAAAATTGGTCCTAATTCGGTTTGCAACAGATTTGAAGGCACCGTTCCATAAATGAATGACGAGAGCAAACCACTGAAATGGATAAAGTTCCTACCTTTCCATTAGACGCCGATTGGTAAAGGTAGTAGATAAATGTCTTAAAATCAACATGTATCTTCATTGCACAAGCATCTCAGGCAGTTCGACGAAATTGAGCAAGAGCAAGGATTCGCTTCTTCTCTGTTCATTTGTAACCTGCTAACACTCTAATCTGAGCCGAACGACCACAGAATCATTTTGCCTTCAGTCGTAAGTCTTCAATACCATTGAACCGTAATCATAATCGATGTCTTGGTAGCTAACTGGAAACATAATTGTAAAGCCTGTGTTGCTATCCAATTCAAGCTGCTTGGCTGTAGTTAAGCTTCATTGATAACCAACTTTTGAGCTGTACCTGTGTTCTTGTCCCAAGCACTGACGAAGACCCTTAAAGAAGGTTGCGAGACACCGGAGCCAGCATATCAGTAGGACTTCGATCAACATGCCTTGAACTAACAGACGGAATACGAGTTCCCCAATGTCAAACAAGGCATTTTGTCACCGGTATCTGAAACGCTGTGGAAGGTATGATATCTCCCACAGACGGCGTGAAATGTTAGGAGTGTCGGGTTAGCATCCTCTAACAGTCTACCCTCAAACAAACTTTGCCGACCGCCGAAACACCTCAATTCTCAAACCAGAGAAAACCAAAGGTGACACAACGGAATAACTCATTACGGAATGTTTCCAAAGGTGCGCTTCAATAAAGCCAGTCCTACGATCACTTGGTTGCCTAATGTGACCTACTGCTTTCAGCTAATCATAAAATTGATAGTGAAATCGCGCTCGTCGGAAATACTTAATGTGATTCGGCCGATTTTGTGACCAACTTAGCTAACGAACACAAATTACCGTAGGTCATTGGTGACCTAAGTATATCGGTGTGGAATTTTCACAGCACATGTATATCGAATGGTTGACGGATATCCACCTGGTTACCACCAAGATATCGCAGGTTTACAGGTGAATGGGTAGCGACGCGTTCCAATTAAGTCAGCTTATAATTTATGAGTCCGTTAGTCAATCGTTCGACTTACACAACTTCAAGGATGTCTTTTAGCTCTTCATTACTTTCAAAGAAGGCCTAGAAAATCACACACACGGTGTGCTCTCCTCAGAATACGGACGGCTTCGCAGAGATGTCATTCTCACAAACCGTACACTAACTGAGAGTGAGCACTCTTGTCCATCACTCCTGACCCTAGTCCCCTACAAACAATGCTGAGGCAACCAACTGAAACTACTAAGGCAAAATTCCTCTTTGGATCAAAGGAAGTATTTTGAGTCACTTACAATCTGTTCCCACTGGAATGCACTACCAACAGGTGTGGTGAACGCACCAGACACCACGACATTCAAAAGACTATTAGTATTACATCTTAGTGCTAAATGCTGCACAGCAGTGTGATAAAATGAGATGTCTAAACTACTGATAATTCACGTTCTACGTTGGACCATCTTGATTTTAACTTCTGTCACACTTTCCATCCTGTGGGTCTTGTAAAGTTATACTTTTTATCCCATCATACACTAATGAACTATTGAACTTCCGAGCGAATATGTGTGGAGGTCTCACTAGTCTAGATAAAGTGAAACATATCAGCCACTGTACTCAATTTTCTACAAATAGGTGGCCAACACATACAAATATTGCCAGTGATTAATAGGGATTTGGTGTAATTTGAATGTAGCTCATCGCAATCACCTCACAGCCAGGCATATTGCTAGATGTTTGGAAACGCACCACGCGGCCGTTTCGATCTACTGGGGCTCCTCAGTTGCGCGCGTTAATTCGACCCCTGTCGGATTTAGACTCCTTGACTTACTGTTGTGAGCAGCTGGTGCCACTAAGCCATGGAACTGCATGAATGACAGTTGACTGCGATATAGCTGCGCTAACCACCATCCTCTGCACAGCGGAGGATGAGTCGCGATATCACACACACACACACACACACACACACACACACACAAACATACGTGCGCTCGTGAAGATGCGCCAAAGTAAAAATTAACACCCCACCCGCACCCCAACTCATTTTACTAGTTGATCTGTGGTTAACAATCTATATCCAGCCTCAGAGCGCTTGCGTCCTACAGACACCTACTGGTTGGTTACTGCTTGCGTGCAAAACATTCGGGAGTTAACCCAACTGTAGAGACAAAAATTAACAGCATTTCTAATGACCATTTCGATACATGTATCGACCAGTTTTCGTCTTCTTACCGCATTGTTCACACTTCCAGATAGCTGATGAACTGGCTTACCTAGTTGCACTCTGATCATGAGCATGATCAAGTGCAGCAAAAATATTTCGTATTTAAAAGTTGAGGAGGCGCGTTAAATGGCATATGAGCCAATGAGCTAACGGACCGCTGAGTGCGAGTAGATAACAACATACCTGTAAATCATAGCCTTAAGGGCATTAACGTTTGATTAAGATCATGAGAGCAATGTGGAGCTCGAGGTTTCAAGAGGATTCGTGTTAATGTTTAGCATGTGTGTATGAACAATGGGACAACGATTTAATACGGCTAAAACGTTAAAACTTAACTGGTCACATAGGATGGTGCTGAATATTGCAAAATATGGTAAACGTGTCAACAAAGCAAGTTCACACCGATGAACTCATAGCGGTGTACATATTAGAAGCTGTGAATTCCCTGTAAGCACATAAAGAATGACGAGAAACGGTACGTTGATAAAAATAGTGCCGCCTTCTGGGGAGGACGTGGTTAGTGGCATCCGGTTTCGGATTTGATTGTCACTGTGGCCAGCCACAGGATGCCTGCGCCTACAGAGGGACGATGGCTGACTTGTACTGTACCACGCACAGCTACAACCACACACCCCATATCCAGTGTGAACCCGAAGGAATAAAACCGGGCGGCATGTGGATGGGAGCCACGTTTCATCAACGGAGCCGGCCCACACTCCTTCACAGGCAAACACAAGCTCGCTGTATTTGGGATTCAAGCGCACACAAGGCAGTGGCTAGACCGTAGTCCGCTACACCCTGAGTGCATGGAACCACTCCTTGAGCCTAGCACGGTAACAAGGACCGTAAAATGGAGGTAAAAGAGATGTAGACACCTTGTCAACATGCACATCAAGCGCAGTCACACTGGGGATATCACACACACACACACACACACACACACACACACACACACACACACACACACACACACTCGCACACACACTCTACACGTTAGGTAGAGGTGGGAAACACCTCAGCTACTGTGCCGCAATACGTAAAAGAAAAAAGGGAATAAAATGCTATAGGTGCAAGCCAGCTGAGCTACCAGTAACGGATGGGCATCGTTCCGGTAAGCTACCTGCCGGCTAATATGCAGCAAAAAAACAATAAGTTACTATGCAAAATTATAAAATGTTAAATAATGAGATCGTGATTGGAGGGGGAGGCTAAGAGGGATGGGGTGGGACAAAGAAACTCACAGCACGAACGTCACTGAGCTCGGCTCCTAGCCATATCAACATGTGTATCCAGCCAAACATGTTCATCGTCTTTTGGACCCCAAGCAAGGAGCCGAGACGCTCTAACGGAGGCCAGCTTCAAAGTGAGGGCCACTGGGGATATCAAGTAACAGCCAATCACTTGAAACGACGATATTGAATCAAATAAATCAAATACTGCATACAGCTATGGTGACCTAACTTTGCAATAAATTAGCATACGAAATAAACTGGTTACGAACAAATCCGCGATAACTTTAAGACATCAGAAAATATATTTGGAAAAATGCTACAAACGTGAAAATGTTATCGAAGTTAACCAAAGTAGTTTAAAGGACGTGCCAAATTTATGCAAGATAGTTCAGGTAGACATTTATATAAAAAGTATTAGGACAATATAGCGAACCCACCACCTGAAATAATTGACGCAGCATGCAAGTACGCGGTTAGTAAATCGAATGCAGCGTACCTACAAACGCTGAGTCGGTTTTGCCTACGTCCTTAGCAGGACTCGACGTCGTTTCGGTGTTGGCCGCGAGTGGTCTCGCTCAATGTTCACTATGATTGCCTGACTCAGAC